TATTGTTCTTGTTTTTCTTCAAGTAATCAAGTCCTTATATAGTCAGAAAAGTATCTGTTGGAGGGCAGATCAGGAATATCCTTCAGAGAGCTGGTGACTTGAAAGAATGTCATTACGTAGGGATGAAAATCATACACAAAAGTTGTCCTTTGTACCATTAAATCAGGGTAGTGGAATGGAATGTTTTGATACGTACTCTGTACTATTTTCCCTTATAAACTTTTGATCTTATCTTCTATACATCAGAGGCTTCTGAATAAAGATGATTGAAGCATGCGTACAAGAGTTGATCATTGGGTCTTCAGAGTCTTGAGTCTTCAGAGTCTTTAGAATTTGTTCACTAGAACCTTTTATTCAAAATCTTTAGCACACAGTCTTCAGAACCCTTGGTCTTCAGAAACTTAAGTCTTCAGAGTCTTCAGAATGTTGTTCAGCAAAACACTGTCTTCAGAGTCTTCAGAAGATAACAACTTCAGAAGCTAGAAATTCTTCAGAAGTAAATCATCATAGTCACGCTCAGAGGTAGAATCCAAGAGAACATTGCAGCAGCAACATATTATCTTCTTAGAATCTTTCTGAATGCGAGTAAATCAAAAGCAGACATGCTTCTTTGGCACAGAAGCGACTTTTGGTCAAACCAGAGTGATGTTGCATATGGTCTTTATCAGAGTCAGAACCTGTTTGTTAAAACTTCAAAATAACAAACGTTAGAGTACCAAAATTGTTCTCACACAAATACTACTTTATTATTATCAAAACTTAGAGATAATGAGTAGAACCAAATCTTATTCTAACACATGTCAATATGGTAAGCAAGCAAGATTATCCTTCAAACAAGAGAATTGGAAAGCAACAAAGAATTTGCAATTTATCCGCACATATATGTTTGGACCTCAAAGGATGACTTGACTTAAAGAGAGAAAATATTGCATTGTCTTTATAGATGATTACACCATAATATGTTGGATTTATTTTCTCAAGTCCAAGTTAGAACTTCTAGAAGTGTTTTGGAGATTTAAGCATTGGATTGAAAAAAAGTAGTTGCAAGATTCAAGTTTTGAAATCAGATAATGGCACATAGCACACTTCAAAAGAATCACCATTTTTTGTGAAGAGGCATACATCGAGCATCAATGTACATCTCCCTACACCCCTAAACAAAATAGAGCTACTAAAAGAAAGAATAGGATAATATTGGAAATGGTCATTTTGTATGCTTCTTGAGAAAGGGATGCCTAAGGAATGGGCAGAAAATACAAACAATGTTGTATTCTTACTTAATAGACTTACCAAAGTAGTATATGAGAAGACTTCTTTTAAAGACTGGTATGGGTATAATCCTTTCTTGAAAAAAAATTAAATATTTGGATGTTTGTGTTTTACTTATGTGTCATATATGAAAAGAGACATGCTAGACAAGAAACTTGAACTCAGTCTCTTTGTTGAATATAGTTTGACATCTAAAGCTTATAGTGTTTTCCATTCTCGCACTAGAAATATTTTGATAAGCAAGGGATGTGTACTTTATGAAGAATGAGAAGACGTGGAAATAGGTTGGGTCGAGTTAGATTTTGGCAAACCTAAGTCTGGCCTGCCCAAAAAACGGAAGCCTAAGTCTAGCTTGTAGTCTGTCATAGACTTATTTTTAGACCTGAGTCTGACCTTTTCTAAGGCCTAGTTAGCGTGTTAACCTACATAAATGTCTGTTATTTTAAATAGACTAAAAAACTAAAAAACCAATGAGAGTAAAATTTTGTTTACATTGACTTATTTTAGCTTACTTATTGGTATAAGTTTTGTGAGATTATTTGTTTAAGATAACTTATAAAATTGTCCATAAGGTGTTTTCATCTTATTTTTATATGTTCTCCAAGATAAACAATTTCTATTTATGTATTTTAACTCAAAGTACATAACATAACATAATGATACTAAAAAAATTATTCATATTTATTTAAATGGGTCAGCCTGTTAGGCTTAAAAGGCTTTTTTTCATGGTCTGAGACCTAGCCTTTTTTTTTTTAACTAAATAGGCTTATAAAAAAATCCTAGGCATTTTCTTTTAAAAAAACTTGACCAAGCCTGAGCCTGTGTAGGCTAGGCCCGTAGGCCCCTGTTATCGGTCTGGCCTATTTCCCCCCTATGAGCAGTAAAGCTGAAATAATACCAAAAAAAATCCAGTAGCTGACTTTGGCAAAATCAAGATGATTTCATGTGTGATGCTTCTATAGCCAGTCCTTTGTAAAATCAAGATGAGTTTGTTAGTGATCCTCCTACAGTCGTCCTTTTCCTAAACCAATATAAGTTAGTTGATTATCCTTTTGTAATATATAGGTAGGAGATTTCTCTCACATATTTACAAAGATATAATGTTGCGGTTCTTGAACCTTCATGGTATTGGGATGAAAAAGAATATCCCAAATGGAGGGTTGCAAGTGTGAAAGAGCTTACCATGATTGATAAAAATCATACTCAAAAACTTTTCAACATACCAAAACACAAAAAATTCATAGGTGTGAAACATGTGTTTAGAACAAAGATAAATGCAAATGGATTGATCAACAAGTATAAATCAAGGTTAGTGGTTAAAGGGCATGCTTAAATATTTGGAGTAAATGTCTTCTATATATTTACTCCCATTGCAAGGCTAGATACTATTAGAATGTTGTTAGTTATTGTAGCACAAAAGGGATGAAAAATATGTCATCTTGATATCAAATTTGTGTTCTTAAATGGATATTTTGAGAAAGAAATATATTTTGAGAAATCCAAAGGTTTCATTGCAAAACAGAATGCAGATAAGGTCTATTTATTAAAGAAGGTCTATATATTATAATAATAATAATAATATTAAAAGAAGGAGAGAACAACATAGAGGTTCAACAACTAGTCTGAGAAATAGGAAAGGGTTCTCACACCAGTCCGAAAAACCACAAGAGTTAACAGTGGACCTACCAAGATACCATTTCCAAGCCAAAAGGATACTAATATCTCCCACGTCCTTTATTGTCACCAAATACCCACTAAAACCATATCATTCTGAGATTTCCAGATCAACCAACCAACAGCATGCCAAACCATCTGCAACCCCCTAGAGACCTAGCACCCCCAGTGAGTGGATAAACATCTGAAAAAGGATCACAATATCGCTAGAAAAAGCAGTACATCACCCCAAAAACCTAAAGATCTTATACCAAATAAAGGAAGAAACATCGCATGTCACAAAGGGGTGAAAGGAAGACTCAATAAGCAGCGAGCGAAAAGGGCAAGAAAAGGTCTTATCGATCAAAGGAGCTTCCTTCTTAAGTAATTTTTCTATGGTAGGGATACGATCATGAAGAAGTCGTCAAGAGAAAATAATAACTTTTGAATGAGCCTAACTACACCAAATATCAAGAAGAACTAACTCAAAAGGAGTGGCCAGAAGCTTGATAGGAATACGGGCTAAAAGGCAAGAGTAGATGGAAGCTATATAATACACCCCATTTCTCGAATCAAGCCATCACCACACAGCACTCACGATAGAGGGGGTAAAACCTCTAATCAATGACTGGAGATCGTTGAGAAGAGCCAACTCATAATAAAAAAGAAGTGTCCTCCTCCACCTAAGGTCCCAGACCTAGGAACCCTCTATCCAACTACTAACCTCCCCAACAGATTTAGAGATCTGACCCGAAATTAGGAAAAGGCGAGGGAACCTATGTTGTAGGGTGGAACCTCCGACCCAAATATCCTCCCAAAAGGAAGTAAGGAGATTCAAATCTCAAGGAGAGACCATCCCAAAACCAAAATTTATTACAACAAGATTGATGGGTAATTAATATGGTCGTCTCAAACATTTGAGAGACCCTGTGTAAAAGTTTCAGGTTAACTTCGTTTGAGTCTTAAATTATTTTTAAGAGGTCATATTTAACTGTGAATAATATGTATGGATGTCCTTTTTGTCATAACTTATTCATAAAAATATGTGAGGCGTTGCATTGTAAGTCACCTTGCACGCTCTTAAAGACGGCTCTGGTAATTAATGAAATTAGGATTTGTTATATGCCTTAGTGAATTCAATTTATATATTAAAGGTGACCAAGCTAATTTTCTGGTGTTCTCTCTATTTGTTGTTGATTTTTTGGTTACTAGCAACATAATTGAACTTACTCAGTAGTTCAAGGATGATATGAAGAGTCTTTGAGATGTCAGATTTGGAAGAAATGTTATTTCTTTGGTATAGAAATTGAACAGAAATATGGTGATATATATATTTGTCTATCAAAAGAAGTATGCAAATGAGATGCTAAATAAGTTCAACATGGAGAACTGTAAAATCATGAGCAGCCTTATGTGCCCAAAAAATAAGCTATGCAAAGATGATAAGGCCGAACTAGTTGATGAAACACTTTACAAAAGTTTAATTGGTTGCTTAATGTATCTTACAGCTACAAATGTTTTATAGGTTGCAAATGTACTTATAAGATTTCATGAATTGTCCAAAAGAATTTCATTTCAAAGGAGAAAAAAGAGTGTTGAGATATGTCAAAGGAACCTTAAAATCAAGTTTTGTGGATCACAAAAGTTTTAAGCATTTTTTGGCCGTTGATGTTGCTAGATGTAATATGTTATCAAGTCTTTAGGAGAGTTTGTTTTTAATTTTTTAGTGGTGGTTGACTTATAAAATCAAGTTACTCATAATTGATTTCATTTTAATTATAGTTTTTTAAATACATGTTTTTATTCAATAACACATTTCTATGAATAATTATAGTTTTGTATTTATATCTTAAAATATTATTGAAGGGATGCTAACTTCTCCAAGAAGTTTAGTAAAGAAAAAGCTTATACAAAATCAATAAAATTGATAATTAACCTTAAGTGGTGAGTGAAAACATATCAATGAAATGTCTATAGAAAACAATAACAATATCTATCAAATGCTTCAAATCATAACTCATAAGGCACACTAAACATAAATAAATATATAATATAATATAATATAAATAAATAAATAACTAGAATTTATTACCGGTGTCTAAATTCCCAATAATTATATCTTCTCCTTTAGATTTGCTCCATAATGAATGTTTTGAAATAACACCATTTCTTTCCAATCCAAGAAAATCCCATGAATGAGTTGTGTGAAGTTCTCGTGGTTTGTTTAAGAAAATTGACAACACATTTGGATTCTCTGCATCAAAAATTACAAAAGGTTAATTAAAACAACATTATATTAAAAATTAAAATGTCTATATTAATTATAACACCTTATACCATTAATAAATAAATAAAATTATGCTTCTTACTCGAAATCTTTACAACTTCATCTTCCTCAAGCATTGCCGCGAAGCCATTAAAATATTTACTATAAGAGTAAAATATAGCTTCTTTCGCCTTCTCGGTGCTGTTTAAGATGAATAATCCCATTAATAATTCAGATTAATTTTGCTATAACAAAATTCATGAAAATAGGATTAAATCTTTTACCTTCCAATATATGATCCAAGCATAGTATAATGAGACTTTGTGACAGATTCAACATCAAGAACTGAAAGTCTTGAACCATAAGATTGTTGTCCTAAGTATACAACATAGGACTAACAAAAACACAGCATGAAAAATTTCATGTCAAGAAAAAAAAAACATAAAAAACTTAAAACGAAAAATTCAATGAAATGAATTCGATTGTTGTTACAAACTAAGGTAACAATTTTTAATGTTATAAATTTGCATATATGTTACAAACTTACTTTTTTGATAGCTTGGGTGGGTTTCTGGAGAAAAAAGCAAAGTAGAAGTAACAATAAGACATGACTAATGGATGAAAACATTGTTGTTTTTCCCATTAGAATTATGTTTGAGAAAAAAAACTATGCATTCCACAGTTTTTATAACTTTTTTCTGACTGTTTGTATATAACGATTTGGCCTAAGCTTTATGAAAAGGATATAATTTGTTCAACGTTTTTCAAGGTTGCAATAAATAGATCAATTGAATAAACTATGACAAATGTGCTTCTGGGATAGAATTAATAATTTAATCTATTTTATAATATATGTTTTTATTTTATAAGTATTTTTTTTTAGGTATTTTCAACTTTCTTCTTTGTGCTTTACTCATTTTTTGTATTTTTTTATAAATTGATTATTTAAATTTATTTTATATTTTTTTTTAATTATTGTGTAAAACTTTTTTTAACAAAGACAATATAGTTTTGAGAGTGGTAACAAAGAGTTCATCTATACTATCCTTTAAAGTGTTTTTATTTTTCCTTAATATTATTTTATTTAAGTGGTAACAATATCAATCTTTCTTCAACATTGATTCTCTCTTTAACATTGATTTTACACAAATTTGTTTACTGACATTTCAATTTTTATTTATTTATTTATTTTATTATTATTTATTTAAAATTCAATATCAATTTAACTATCTTTACATTTACTATTTTTATTTTTTTAGAAAATATTTACTATTTTGTTCTTTTTAAAATAAGTGTTGTTTTAAGTTTTTGCTTGCAAAATTAAAAAATACAAAACTTGTTAAAAAAATACTATATTTTTACTTAGTTAATTTTTGTTCTGGACTGGGCCGAGGCTTAGACCACAATCGAGAAGGCCCAAAATCCCAAATGAAGTTGGGCCCAATTGGACCACACTGGTGAGCAGGGACCCATGGGCAGAACCTCCTCCCGTCAGGCAGGTGCCCATCCCGTGGGCAGAACCTGTGCCCATCCTGACGGGCAGAACCTGTGCCCATCTCATCAGGGCAGAACCTCCTCCCGTTAGGCAGGTGCCCATCCCGTGGGCAGAATCTGTGCCCATCCCGTGGGCAGAATCTGTGCCCATCCCGACGGGCAGAATCTGTGCCCATCCTGATGGGCAGAACCTGTGCCTATCCCGTCAGGGCAGAACCTCCTCCCGTCAGGCAGGTGCCCATCCCGTGGGTAGAATCTGTGCCCATCCTGACGGGCAGAATCTGTGCCCATGCTGACGGGCAGAACCTGTGCCCATCCCGTCAGGGCAGAACCTTCTCCCGTCAGGCAGGTGCCCATCCCGTGGGCAGAACCTGTGCCCATCCTGACGGGCAGAACCTGTGCCCATCCCGTCAGGGCGGCACCTCCTCTCGTCAGGCAGGTGCCCATCCCGTGGGCAGAACCTGTGCCCATCCTGACGGGCAGAACTTGTGCCCATCCCGCCGGGCAGCACAACGTGCCTTCCACACGTTCTCCGCGTGCTCCCCTCCGCGGGGAGAATAACGTGCTCGGCGCACGTTCTCCACGTGCTCCCCTCCGCGGGGACACGTCATCAACCAACTGCCCACCTCCGAAAGAGCAGGTCAAACCCACTTTCCGGAGATCTAGGTGCAGTTGGACTAGGGCGAAGACCACGTCCTGGTCTTCACTACGTCACGTAAGCCCTAGCAGTCATTAGGGTTGGGCCTGGTCATCCAGTCCAGCTCAAATGACCGTTGGCCCGGCGCTGGGGTCTCTCTATAAATACCCTCTTCCCCAAGAGGGCCAGGTAATCCACTTCTTACCCAATTTCTGTACTTTGCTGTCACTCTGCCCATTTTCTCACTTTGGCATCGGAGTGCCTTGCAGGTACACCCCCTCCTCATCCTCCCCACCGGTGAACAGGAAGCAGCCTAACGGAGCGTGGCCATCCAGTGATCCCCTCCTGATCAGGTCAGATCAGTGGCGCCGTCTGTGGGAAACTAAGCTCCCCCGTTCCTCCGAGCAGAGAACCAAAGCTTCATCTCTCAAAACTTCAAGATCACGAGTGTCCTCCGCCATGGCGACGCTGTTCACAATTGTCCTCCCTTCGTCGAGCAGAAGACTCCGATGGGCAGGACCCTGGCTGCCCACCAGCCAGTCTTTGTCCTCCTTTCGTCGAGCAGAAGACTCCGATGGGCAGGACCTGGCTGCCCACCTGCCAGTCTTTATCCTCCCTTCGTCGAGAAGAAGACTCCGATGGGCAGGACCTGGCTGCCCACCAGCCAGTCTTTGTCCTCCCTTCGTCGAGCAGAAGACTCCGATGGGCAGGACCTGGCTGCCCACCAGCCAGTCTTTGTCCTCCTTTCGCCGAGCAGAAGACTCCGATGGGCAGGACCCTGGCTGCCCACCAGCCAATCTTTGTCCTCCTTTCGCCGAGCAGAAGACTCCGATGGGCAGGACCCTGGCTGCCCACCAGCCAGTCTTTGTCCTCCTTTCGCCGAGCAGAAGACTCCGATGGGCAGGACCCTGGCTGCCCACCAGCCAGTCTTTGTTCTCCTTTGTCGAACAGAAAACTCCGATGGGCAGGACCCTGGCTGCCCACCAGCCAGTCTTTGTCCTCCCTTCGTCGAGCAGAAGACTCCGATGGGCAGGACCCTGGCTGCCCACCAGCCAGTCTTTGTCCTCTCTTTCGTCGGGCAGAAGACTCTGTCGGGCAGGACCCTGGCTTCCATCCAGCCTTGTCCTCCCTTCGAAAACCTACTACCTCGAAAACTTACACGGGACCATATAGCTCGACCATGGAACGCTGAAAAGCTAAAAAAATACTACAGTTAAACAACACTGCCCGCGAGGGACAACCCGCGCGAACAAGAGGGTGGACTGATACGACCACACCTCACCGACCTTACCTTAGCGGGCACTATACCTCCCCGAACAAAAAGAGAATAGCCCGCTCGACGGCACCCCCTCGATCGAGAGTCGCCGCCGCAGTATCATAATCGGCCGAACGCCCAGCTCGCGATGGGATGTTCAAGCCTACAGGATAGATCACAACCGTGACCTAACTCTTGTCCGCCCAGGAAGCTACCCCGGGCATCCGGATAGTTCCCCACACTACCGGGCAACACGCACCGAGCAAAGGTCCCCCACAAAACAATAAACATTCACGTCATAATGGAGCTCGGCAAAACGAGCCAACACTTAGCGAAAAAGCATAACGATCATGCACGCACACAAAACTTAGAAAGGAAAACAAGAATTCCATAAAAGGGGGCACAAGCCCAGAAGTAAAAACGTTATAATAAACGGGCACGACCCCGGATGTCGAGCAGAAACGATCGAAGGTGTCGAGCAAATTTTTTTGGATGTCGAGCGACTGCAATTTCGCCCTTCCCAGATGATCGATACGATCGACGCCATTCTCACATCCTGCCTGACATATCAGCGCGCGCAACGCTATTCTCTACTTAAGTCATAGCTCTCCTGACAGCGAACTACGACTTGGGGGGCTCCTGTTCTGGACTGGGCCGAGGCTTAGACCACAATCGAGAAGGCCCAAAATCCCAAATGAAGTTGGGCCCAATTGGACCACACTGATGAGCAGGGACCCATGGGCAGAACCTCCTCCCGTCAGGCAGATGCCCATCCCGTGGGCAGAACCTGTGCCCATCCTGACGGGTAGAACCTGTGCCCATCCCGTCAGGGCAGAACCTCCTCCCGTCAGGCAGGTGCCCATCCCGTGGGCAGAATCTGTGCCCATCCCGTGGGCAGAATCTGTGCCCATCCCGACGGGCAGAATCTGTGCCCATCCTGACGGGCAGAACCTGTGCCCATCCCGTCAGGGCAGAACCTCCTCCCGTCAGGCAGGTGCCCATCCCGTGGGCAGAATCTGTGCCCATCCTGACGGGTAGAATCTGTGCCCATGCTGACGGGCAGAACCTGTGCCCATCCCGTCAGGGCAGAACCTCCTCCCGTCAGGCAGGTGCCCATCCCGTGGGCAGAACCTGTACCCATCCTGACGGGCAGAACCTATTCCCATCCCGTCAGGGCGGCACCTCCTCTCGTCAGGCAGGTGCCCATCCCGTGGGCAGAACCTGTGCCCATCCTGACGGGCAGAACTTGTGCCCATCCCGCCGGGCAGCACAACGTGCCTTCCACACGTTCTCCGCGTGCTCCCCTCCGCGGGGAGAATAACGTGCTCGGCGCACGTTCTCCACGTGCTCCCCTCCACGGGGACACGTCATCAACCAACTGCCCACCTCCGAAAGAGCAGGTCAAACCCACTTTCCGGAGATCTAGGAGCAGTTGGACTAGGGCGAAGACCACGTCCTGGTCTTCACTACGCCACGTAAGCCCTAGCAGTTATTAGGGTTGGGCCTGGTCATCCAGTCCAGCTCAAATGACCGTTGGCCCAACGCTGGGGTCTCTCTATAAATACCCTCTTCCCCAAGAGGGTCAGGTAATCCACTTCTTACCCAATTTCTGTACTTTGCTGTCACTCTGCCCATTTTCTCACTTTGGCATCGGAGTGCCTTGCAGGTACACCCCCTCCTCATCCTCCCCACCGGTGAACAGGAAGCAGCCTAACGGAGCGTGGCCATCCAGTGATCCCCTCCTGATCAGGTCAGATCAATTTTATTAACATCTTGAAAGATGTGTATATGTTGGAATGTTATGTCAATATTTAACATAGGGAGATGAATTTGAAAAAATTCTTTAAGTCTCGCATTGTGTGTTGGTTGAAAAAATTCGTTAGTCTCATATTATTTAGATGAGATATTTTAGCTAGCTTGTTTCATTATATAAGGAAATCCCTTATTTCAATCAAAACGCTAAAAACTCCTTTTGTTGAGTTTTTCCTTCTTCATTCTCATAACTCTTTGTCTTTCGAATTGTCGAAGCGACAACTTCTCTCCTTTTCTTTCTACTCATTAAATTTTCCGAGTATTTTCTTGATTTATCTTTAGAGAATTATGTTAATTTCTTCTCTTTTGAGTTGAGAAATTATCAAGTATAATATTTAGATTTTCTTTAGAGAATTATTCGAATTTCTCTTTGTTTGAGAAATCATTTTGAGTAGCCAAATGATTATTATTGAATTCTCTTTGGAGAATTATTGAAATTTCTTTT